TAAGTTATATCATAATTTGTTGTATACTATTATAGTGGCCTTAAAATAAAAAATTAAATATACATAGTAGGTTTAATGTCGCTCTTATTATATCCAAACAATTTTTTACAAATTATAAAATGTCAGTAAACTATACGTTCCAACAATAGGATTATAATTTTCAAATTAACATGGCCCATTAGTCCCGATATATTGTGTTAAACCTATTATCATTGATATCATGGATAATGGATTTGGTATAATGTATAGAAATGAATATACCTACATAGTATACTCACCTATTATAATGGATATAGTAAAATGATAGGATAATAATCCATAGCACTTACTTATAAAGTTAATAACTCGGAAACTACTCGTTTAAATTATTTCAACTTAGAGCGTCAAATTAAAAAAAAAAACAATTTGTTGTATGAAACAAAAAAATGTTTCACGTTTTAAAAAAAAGTTTGTGTCCCCATAATATACTCCTTGTCTCCTTACACAATACACGGTGTTACTAATCTATAACTATACGTATGTAAGAGATTTTTATAATATGGACATAAAGCGTACTTGCATACTAAATTTCCTTCAAATGCTTTTAAGTTTTGTTTGAGAATTTGAGATATATTATAATAAAACACTTGAAAAATACATATTAATAGTGGGATTTGTTTTTATTTACCTCGAGTTTCGAGAGACTCGACTGTATGTAATATKATGTCATTAATCTGATGATCGAAGCATTCGAAGCGCTGCTCGGTTGACCATCATTTTCATTTATATTGTAATTGATAACAACATCAACAATAACGACAACCATATACCTACCTACCCACGCATGCACAAATTGCGTGCACGTCTATGCGTCGTTTGGGGCCCTCGATTATCTGAATTTAGACGAATTGCGCTCTTTAATAATATATATATTATAATAGTATTACGAGCTCGTATACGTAAAGCGCGTTACGTATGAGCGTTTAATATGCATATAATATGTGCTAATAATATTATTATAACTCGAAAGTCGGACGCACTTTATAACATTATTATAAATTATACTATAATACATATACATTGAAACCTCTAAATACCGGACACTCTCGGTCGCTTAAACGTCGTCCGCTATTTGGAGGTGTCCGCTATTGAGAGGTGTCCGTTAAAGGAGGTTTCACTGTAGCAACAAAAAGTTCACAATAACTACGGCGGCATGCGCGCTGATCGGAATTCCACGTACGTATTGACTAATGATTTATGATTATTATTTTTGTTATTATTAGTTATGTACTTATGTATAATATATTTGTTATTTTGTGTGTGACCGCGGCGAGCGAATATATTGTGTTGTTGTTCTATACGAGTGTCTAACGTTTATGATGATGTATATATATACGGATGATGGGTGTATACAACACTCTTGTTTTTCGTAGACACGTCCGCAGTTAACGTCCATTAAATACATATAAAAAGATAATAGTGTCGTAATGTTATTGTTACCATCGGTAGAAACGAAAAATCCATTATCCCGAACATCAAAAACGATGGCGTAGGCGCGACATTAAATTAAAAAAAAAAAAAAATGTCTGTTGGTAATAAAATATGTCTAACGCTTTTATCAGATTTTTTGTCGTCGGATGCAGATTAACCATTTATAAATATATACAATATATACATGATATTACATTATATCGTAAAATACGAGTTATATATGATCTGGCCACGTGTGTTGGAAAAAAAAAATTACGGTTTGCTATGCGTTGAACTTTAAGACATAAATGAAAAATG